TGGTCTCGATCTCCTGACCTCGTGATCCGCCCGTCTCGGCCTCCCAAAGTGCTGGGATTACAGGCTTGAGCCACCGCGCCCGGCCTCAAAGTCACTTCTCATTCACAAAAGCACACAGCATCACACCTATGGTCACAGACACACACTCAGGGTGCACACATAGCCCCAGTCACTCACAATCCATTCCATCACATCTGCTGACACACTTACACACATGCACAGCCCTGCAGCAGCCACAGAGTGAGAGACCCACATAGACACAGCCCTGCATACTCAGAGAGGGGCCCCTGAACTGTCCCGGATGCAAAGGCGCACTCAAGGGCAAGACACGGTGGCTCACGCCTGTAATCTCAGCCCTTTGAGAGGCTGAGGCGGGATGATCACTTGAAGACAGGAGTTCAAGACATAGTGAGAAACCACTGGACAACATAGCGAGACCCCATCTCTCCAAAAAAAAAAAAAAAAAAAGAGCTGGGCGTAGTGGTGCATGCTTGTAGTCCCAGCTACTTGGGAAGCTGAAGTGGGAGGATCACTTGAGCCCAGGAGTTCAAGGCTGCAGTGAACCGTGATCATGACACTGCACTCCAACCTGTCTCTAAAACAATAACCAAATAAAAATAAAAAACACTCCTAGGGCATTTACGGTCAGTCTCACGCTTGGAACAATCACCACACGAATACACACCCCTGTTATACGTAGTCTGCATGACATAAACACAGTCACACCTGCAGCCACACCCACAGTGATGCGTTCCTAGCAGCCATACGGTGGCAGTCACACTGAGTGTCGCCCCAGCCATGGGCATTTCCATGCTGAAGGTCACCCACACGCCCACCACCTTCTTTCTCAGGGAACCTCTGCTCTTCTCCGTCCTATCCCTAATAACTCAGCTGACTTATCTGGCCCCACCTGGCACTGTGTCTGGGCAGGGAAGGTCCCCTTGTCCCAGCCAGGCCCTACTTTGACCCCCAGGCAGCTTGGGCCCCACTCCCCACCCACACTGGTCTTTCCTCACCCCACTCTATCAGAGCCCACCCCCAGGAAGCAGCTGGAGATGTACCTCACAGAGCTCCGACACCTACTGCCAAGGCCATAGAAAGGTCTAGAACAGGGTTTTTCTATCTCTGGACACTTGGAACCAGATTAGTTGTGGTTGTGTTGTGGGAGCATCCTGTGCATCGTAGGGGGTTCGGAGTAACCTGGCCTCTGCCTGCTAGGTGACCTCATCCCCCTTCCTCACTTCGATGGCCAAAAGTATCTCCAGACCTTGCTGAATGTCCTGGGGGCAGAATCACCCTGGGGAGAGAACCACTATCCTAGAATGAGGAGAACGCATCATCAGCTTTCTTCCTTTCTTTCTTTCTTTTTTTTTTTTTTTTTTTTTTTTTGAGATGGAGTCTTGTTCTTGTCACCCAGGCTGGAGTGCAATGGCGTGATCTGGGCTCACAGCAACCTCCACCTCCTGGGTTCAAACAAGTCTCCTGCCTCAGCCTCCCAAGTACCTGGGATTACAGGCACCCACCACCACGGCCGGCTAATTTTTTGTATATTTAGCAGAGATGGGTTTTCACCGTGTTAGCGAGGCTGGTCTCAAACTCCTGACCTCATGTGATCCACCTGCCTTGGCTTCCCAAAGTGCTGGGAGTACAGGCATGAGCCACCACGCCCGGCCTCATCATCGGTTTTCTTTGCAATATTACATCTGGAAACGGTACCGTCATTGTCCCTCTGCAGCCCTCACAGGCAGCTAACAACTTCACCAACAAATCAGCCAGAACCATCACGCATGGGTGGGGCCCCAAGGGCGCCAGTTCCCAGGGCCCAGTGCCCTCCAGGGTGAGGTCCCCAGGAGGCAAGGCTCCTAGCAGGTGAGATTCAGTGTGGCAAGGTCTCTGGGAGCAAGTCCCAGCAGGTAAAGTCCCCAACAGCCAAGGTCCCCAGTAGGCAGAGTCCCCAGGAGATGAGGTCCCCAGCAGGCCAGGCTTCTGCAGGGGACACTCCTGGAAGCCAGCATGTGAAATCCCAGGTAAGTGACATGCCTGGCCACCAAAGACTCCAGCAGGTGAGGTCCCAGGAAAGTGCGGACCCAGGTAGGTGAATTCCTAGGCAGGTGAAGCTGCAATATGTGACCGTCCCAGGCAGCTGAGTCCCCAGGCAGGTGAAGCTTCATGCAAGCGAGTCCTTAGGTAGATGAGGCCCCACTCAGGTGAGGCCCCAGGAAAATGAGGTTCCCAGCAGCCCAGGCCCCACACCGGCCTCTCAGGTGAACCAAGCCGCTATGCTGCGCACCGTCTGGTACCTGGATTCCTCCTGCAGTTTCCAGCAGGCCTTGCAGAAATCCAGTGCCCAGCTAGAGAAGCGAGGCCGCAGCGTCTCCCGCCAGCGGAAGTAGCTCAGGTAGCGGGCGTGGTCCTTGTCCAGCTCCTGCAGGTATCGGGCCAGGTCCTTGGGGCTCTGGAAGTCGTCCACGTGGATGAAGGCGTCGGGCGGCAGGAACCTCTCGTAGTTGCTTCTGCTGGGCCCCAGTACCACGGGCACGGCCCAGGCCTCCAGGGCGTTCCTCCACAGCTTCTCGGTGATGTAGTCGGGGTGCAAGGAGTTCTCGAAGGCCAGATAGAACTTGTACCGGGACAGCGTCTCCATCATGGTCCCCCTAGGTAGGGGCTTGTGGGATTTCCCGTACACATCCACCTTGAGATGGGCCTGCAGGCTCTGGTAGTAGCGCACCCTGGCCGAGTCCGGATTCCAGTTGGACACTGCCCAGGCCACCAATTCGGTCTTGGCCGAGAGGTTGAGCGGTGGGTGGGCAGGCTGGCCGGACCGTGGCTCCAGCCAGCCGTAGGGCGTGAAGATGTCGGAGTCGCTGCGGTAGGACATGGTGAGATTGAAGTATCCGTCCAGGGCTTGCAGGTGCCAGCAGTGACTTGGGGACTCCATGCTGAACCAGATCCAGCGCTGCCCCTGCGGCCTGGTGTGGGGCGGGAGGTTGGCACTGGGATCGTACATGATATCCCGGTGGTGCACGATGACCGCATCTGCCTGTGGGTACACCTTGCGGTCGGCAGTAATATGGCAGTCGGCCGTGGCAGGCACCATCTCTGAACAGCGGGACAGAGCCACGGGGATGTGGAAAGGCCACGTCCACAGCAGGATCAGGAGGGTGGGGCGGGTGGGAGTGGTGTCCTGTCTGGAGGACCCATTGGGAGCCCCAGTGACAGGTGCCACTGCCATGTACCCTGGCCTAGGGAACCCAGTGGCATCGTCTCGGGACACACGTAGGTAGGAGAAGAAACACACAGCCACCAGCAACTGAAACAGCAGCCCGGCCAGACAGCGGCGCCACGGCCATTGTGGCTTGGCTGGGCCCAG